ACAAGTGTTAACTGATACTGAGCTCACTCAACCTTGGGAGACGGGTGTTGAGGTTCTCCTTGAAGCACAAGGATGGAGATTGAGGTGATGCACTGCAGTGATTCTCAAATTCACTGTGCTCCAGAATCACCTGGAGAGTTCATTAAAGTGTGGAGGGCTGGGTCCGCCCCCAGAGTCTCTGGTTCAGTAAGTCTGGATTGGGGCCTGAGAATGTGTGTTTCTAGCATGTTCTCAGGTGAAGCTGATGCTGCTGGTCTGGTGACCCTACTCTGAGAACCAGCACTCTAGCAGACCTGAGTTGTCCCAAGCCAGCTAGGACTCTTGATAGCAGAGGCTCAGTAAGTAATTGTCACCCTGTTTATTTAACTTCAATGCAGAGTAGCATGTGAAATGCCAGACTGGATGAGTTACAAGCTGGAATCAACATTGCTGGGAGAAATATCAACAACCTCAGATATACAGATGATACCACTCTAATGGCAGAAAGTGAGGAGGAACTAAAGAGTCTCTTGATGAAGGTGAAAGAGGAGAGTGAAAAAGATGGCTTAGAACTCAACATTAAAAAAAATAACTAAGATCATGGCATCCGGTTGCATCATTTCATGGCAAATAGATGGGGAAAAGTGGAAGCAGTAACAGATTTTCTCTTCTTGGGCTCCGAAATCACTGCTGGTGGTGACTGCAGTCGTGAAATTAGAAGATGCTTGCTTCTTGGAAGGAAAGCTATGACAAACCTAGATAGCATATTAAAAAGCAGAGACATCACTTTGCTGACAAAGGTCCATGTAGCTGAAGTTATGGTCTTTCCAGTAGTCATGTATGGATATGAGAGTTGGACCATAAGGAAGGCTGAGCTCTGAAGAATTGGTGCTTTTGAACTGTGGTGCTGGAGAAGACTCTTGGACAGCAAGGAGGTCAAACCAGTCGATCTTAAAGGAAATCAACCCTGAATATTCATTGGAAGGACTAATGCTGAAGCTGAAGCTGAAGCTCCAATACTTCCGGCACCTGATGTGAAGAGCCGACTCATTGGAAAAGACTGTGATGCTGGAAAAGTTTGAAGGCAAAAGGAGTAGAGGGTGGCAGAAGATGAGATAGTTGGATAGCATAACTGATTCAATGGACATGAATCTGGGCAAACTACAGGAGATAGTGAAGAACAGGGAGGCCTGGTGGGCTGCATGGAGTCGCAAACAGTCAGACACAACTTAGTGACTGAACAACAACAAATAAATAACTTGGCGTGTGAGTGATGATTACAGGGAATGGAAGGGGTGTTGGACCAGGAGCCCCAGGATTCTGGTCCTGAATTTGCCCCCACCTCTCTATGGGACTTGACCATGTTCCCCTGAAGCCTTGGTTTCCTCCCCTGTAAAACAGGGGTACCTATAATCCTTCCTCACTGAGCTCTACGAGGATGAAACAAGGCCTGGAACAGCTCCGAAACCCAGGCAAGAGTGACAAGCATGGTCTCCGAAGGTGATGGGCTCTGGGAACTATGAGGGCTCAGTGACCGTCACTGATCCCAGCACCGAGGGCTGCAGCCCATCTCTTTTACTTTTTTGTCAAACCTGAATTGGAAAGATTGGGGCCACACTGTCCCCCAAGCCCCATGGCCCCAAGGCAGAGGGCAGCGTGCTTGCTGTGGCCACAGGTTGCATAAAAGGGCCTGTGTTCCTGCCGCTCACCTCCCACTGTGCGCCCAGTGGTTTTCTATTTCAGTTGCTGTAAAAATATCACCTTTGATCTCAGCTTGTGGCTCTTAAAAAAAGAAGAAACCACCAACAGGCTGGGTTTTCATTCTCCCCGGCCCGCCTCTGTCTCACCTCCGCCTCCACCTCCATGCTCTCCTCCCCTCCCCTCTATCCCCTCCCTGCTCCTTCTCTCCTCTCTGGATCCCCAGTACCCTCACTAGAGAGAGCACCTAAGGAATCACCTTATTGCCCTGGGTGTCTCCCCCAGGTCCCCTATGGCCCCGTGTGCTGAAGGAACAGCACAAATGAGGGTGAAGGATGCCACCCTCTCCCCTCCTCCCTCTCTCCCTGCCCCTTCCCTTCTGTTCTGAGGGCCAAGAATCGCCGAGACTCCCTGCTTCTCCAGCTGCTGCTGTTAAGTGCATGGCATCAATCACATCCCGCATCTGTGAAGTCTTGAGTCTTCCCCAGAGTAGACTGAGAGTCACTAGTGGGGCCTAAATATTTCCATCACACTGTCAACTCAGAGAACCCAGTCAGCAGCCCAGATCTGTCTGGGGGAGGGGCCTTCAGCCCTGAGGGGTCTAACGTCCCAACGCCTGGCTCTGCAGGTACAAAGGTTACCAGCACCACCCCTGGCCACCTCCCTCCTCCCCCGCCCCCTGCCCCTGGCCCAAAAACACATACATCCCTCCCTCTTTCCTCTTTGAAGACTCTGGGGAGATGATTCACAGGTCACCTGCCACTGGCTGTCCCCCCATTCTCTGATCTTCCTAAGACATTCCTGGACCTACTCGCTCCACGCTGAGGCCTCTTGAGCCATGCGCTCTTTTGGTTGGAAAATCAGCTCCAAACATATGGGGCCCCTCCTGCCTTGCCACTTCTCTGGCTAGTGAGGTCATTTCCAAGGACCCCAGCTCCGGCAGAGGGCCAGAGAATCCCCCTCAGAAGTTTCATGGCTGAGAGGCATGTGTGCTCATTGAGAGGACAAACGAGCTGGTGATTCACACCAGGCTTGGAGCTGCTGCCACGGTTTTCTTTGGTTTCAGCTTTGAGAGAAAGAGACAAAATCCCACTTACTCAACAAACACTTCTGCACCTGGTGCTGTGCTGACATGGCCACTGCCCTTCCTCGGGGGAGAGACACGGGTATGTGCAGGGGTCAGGCAATCAGGGAGTGAGTGCAGGAGCTGGAGTGCTGGGGGAGGGCTGGACCCAGCTTGGGTCTGCCTGGAGGAGCTGGAGCAGAAAGGCCAGGCTAGGAAGTTACAGGAAACTGGGGGCATCCTTGATAGAAAGGGAAGCTTCAGATGCAGCTATGGCCTGGGGTATTCAATATTCAAGATGGAATGAGGAAGGCCTGTTGAGAGGCAAGGAGGAAGAAGGCAGGCCTCAAAGGGCTAAGAGGGGCTGGCAAAGAGCTCTGCTGTTATTCACAAATCAGTGGGGAGCCTTTGCAGGGTCTGAAATGAGTGTGGACTGTCCATGAAGAAAGCCTTTCTGAGGGCATGGAGAACCTGGGCATAGGAGGTGAGGTCCCGGCTGTGTGTCCAGGTCACAGACTCATTTAGTAGCAACCACAGCCTGCCAGGGCCCGGACTGAGGCCTGCAGGCCAGCGCACAGACCCCGGCTGGGTAGAGTGCACAGCCAGTGCGGCTGCTGCTGCTGGCCAGGGGCTTCAGGAGAAGAAGCCTGACTGACTCATCAGTGTCCCCAGAGCCCAACCCAGGGCTGGGGCAGAGCAGGCGCCAGGGAAAGCGTGCTGCGGAGAGAAAGCAGCTTTACAAATGCTCCCAGCAGCCAGACCGGGGTTATTTCTCCCTGCCCACACATCCTCAGACCTGGAAATAAGGAAGTGTGAGGCTCAGTGAGCTCCTGGACTCAGGGGCTTGGGGACCACTGGAGCCCCTGGGAGACGTTCCCTCGATTTTTGCGTTTTTAAGTCAGTGTGTGTGTGTGCAGAAGGAATGACAAGCAATGGAAACTGGCTGGGCTGCTGGCAGCCTGTGTACTGGGAGCCACAGGACCACTAATCTTTCACACCCACCAGTGCGTGCTGGTGGGGAGATCCCAGTTCTTCCTCACTCTTCTCTCCGGCAATGAAATAGGACAGATTTGTCAGCCCCATTTCACCAGGCGAGCCTCCCAAAGCACTGACTCTATTTCCCAGGGACCTGATGAGCAAATGGGGCTGGGATGGAGGGGCCCCCAGGGAATCTCTGTTTTTCTGGATGGGTCTGGCATCCCTGCTCCCCACCTTGGCCTCTAGGGTTGCCAGGACCCCTTGGCCGGTGGACGCAGAGGCGAAGCGTAAGAAGTGCCAAGGCACCCCCACGTGCTGAAAGGCCCACCCGGCTGGGGCCAGAACCGGAGAGTTCTGCCCAGGTTGCGGAGCTAAACAAAGGAACCCGCCCATCTAACCCAGCCCTGACTGAAACTTCAGGGCAAAGCCTCGCGACGTGCCGTTATCTTTCCAGAAAGTCAGGCGTCCAGGAACCCCAAGAGCCAGGCTGTGCAACTCCCGAGTCGCAGTCCCAGCTCCTGAGTACGGTGCAAACTCGCACTTTCGCGTCTGCACACACGTACATTTCTCTAACGCACGGCGGACTGAGTACCTTGTCCCCGCGTCCGGGCCCAGAGCTCGCCTACAAAAGAGCAACTCCTGGCGTCGGAGGTCCGATCGAACCTACGAGAAATCCTTATCCTGCAGTCGACTCTGAGTACCTTGGAAACGAAGAGTGATAGAGCTGAACTGCGCAGGCTCCGGAGCTGACCAATCTACTTAGGAAGGAAATCGAAGAACCCGTTGAGTGGTGGCTCGTTGGTCTAGGGGTATGATTCTCGCTTAGGGTGCGAGAGGTCCCGGGTTCAAATCCCGGACGAGCCCTCTTTTTCTTGTTTTGTTTTGCCTTTGCCCCATTTCTGGTTTCTAAATAGTTCTTAACCACAAAGAATTTTCGAGAAAAATGGCAGCCAGTACGTCACTTGCACTAATTTTTATTCGGCGTTTCTGCCTCTTCAAATCGTATTGGTTTTCGTTCGGTGGTCATTAAATCTCTATCAATCTATGGATGCAGGAAAAGTCGGGAAAAAAAGGGGGGCTCGTCCGGGATTTGAACCCGGGACCTCTCGGACCCAAACCGAGAATCATACCCCTAGACCAACGAGCCAGCTACTAGAACACTTATTTTCGAACTTACTAGACTAAGTAGTCAGTGTACGCGTGCGCGGAACAGTCGATTCTGCTGTCCATTCTGTGGGTGGAAATGCAGGCGTCGGTGCTTTCGAGCCGGTTCACGCAGGATCTAAGGCTCCAGCCGTCCGGTGTCTTCCGGGTTTGCTCCGGGAACTTGCCGCGCCCCCATTCTGTCCCGAAACGCTCTGTCGTCCCCCTCCGTCTCCCTCTCCTCACTCCTGGGTGCGGGTCCAGCCTCGAACTCCCCGTTGGACCCGTCCCCTTCTGGGTGCGCCGTGACCCGCATTTCCTGGCTCGAGCACCACCCCCCGCCCCCCGCTCGGTGCCGCATTTTCCGGACGTCAGGCCCTGAGGATTCACACCTGCACTCTAGCGCCCAACTCCGGGTGCTGAATCAATTCAGGAGGCGTGTCTGACACAATGCATCAACCCCTGAAAGCGAATGGTCACTCCAGGGTCGAGCGAAGGTGCGCGGGCGGGTGGGTGAGGACGACACCAGAGGGCACCGTGGGAACCGAGGGGATGGCCTCCCCCCCCGACTCCACCCTCCACCCCAAGAGCGAGGGTGGCACTGCAACCCAGTGCCCGGCTGTGGTTCATCTGGGCAGAGGCCGTAACAAAGGACGGAGGCTTTCCGCTGCCCTGAAACAATGGGGACGAGCTCCCGGAGTAACGGAGACACAAGTAAGGGCACGTGGCACGCACTGCGACTCGGCAAATGCCACACTCACACCTGCAGTTACCTTTCATCCTTCCTCTCGGCTCGAGGGCAACCCCAGCCTCCCCGAGTGTCCGGTTCTCTTTGAGCTCCAGTCACGAGACTGGAAGTTCTGTGCGGACAGAAGTCGGACCGAGGTTCTTTCTCTGACCTCGGGGTATGGGACTGTACTTGTTAGCAATAAAATAATAGTAATAACAACCGTCAACAGTGATTTCACAGTTCTAATCAATTCTCTCAATAGCTCCTCAAGGTAAGAAATACCCCCATTTTACTGCTGAGCAAAGGGATCAGAGAGGTTCAGTGTCTTACCTCTCACTCAAGGTCACACGTGTCAGTGGCAGGGCTGGGACTGAAATCCAGGTGTGTCAGGAATCTCTCACTACCTGCCTTGCTTCCCCCTATATAAGCATTTTCATGTATATGTTTATATTGTATTGATATTCACATTGATTTTTCAGGAAATATCTGAAATTGTGTGGAAATCATTTATAAAGAAAAGGGCAGTTCCCGACATTCATGTGTCCCTGAGTCACTAACCCCCAAATAACTCCTGGCTCTGCTACAGCTTGCTGCTTCTGAAAATGACATTACTTCAGCCTGTCCCAGCAAGGACTCCATTTTATGTACATTCCTGTCTGAACACTTGAGAAGGGCTCACAGAGTGGGCCAACAGCTTTGCAATTTTTAAAGCACTTTTAAGTTGCACATGAGAAGGACTGAATGAAGGAAAGTATAAATATCTGAAGATACTAAGCACCTTACCATGTGCCAAACATGATGTAAGTGTTTTACAGATATTTTCTCACTGAATCTTCTCAATAGCCATATCAAGCGTATTTTACAGTTCTCCCCATTTCACAGATAACGCAACTGAAGTCACGGAAGTGGAGTGACTTTCACGAGGGTACTTACTTAATTTTTGTTGAAATCAGGGTCATTCTTTTATTCATCTGACTCATGATGCCAGAGCCATTATCAGGGACTGAAGATTCAAAGTGTTGAGCACAAAGTTTCTCCCTCTGGGATATTTCTGGTATCTGGGTCTGTCTGAGAGTTCCACCACACCATAGCCTTTGAAAAACTGCTGTGCCTTCCCCTCCAGGAGGCAGATATACTGTCACTCTGGTTCATTCCTTGCTTTTCCAGTCATACCTATGGACTCCCTCTCTAGTGTCACCTCCTGCAGGAAGTCTTCCTTGACTTCTCCAGCCCACAGTCCTCTACCCCTCCTTCCTCTTTCTTACTGCTCTCCTTCACATGCATTTAGTCCTGGCCACTTCAGGAAAGGAGCCCTTGAAGGCAGAGTGTGGCAGTTCCTCTCTGGGTCCTCTGTGCCAAGCTAAGTGCTTGGGAAAGGTTTGCCAGTTGATGAACAATCACTGAGAGAGAGAGAGAGAGAATGGGAACTGGGAAAGACTTCAGAATTCAGAGTGAGACAGACTTGGGTTCACACAAGAAAGTCTGTGTCTTCCTGTGTCTAGGCAAATCACTGCCTCTCTCTGACCCTCGGTTCTCTCTCTGGCAAATGGGGTTCATGATCCCTGCCTCCCTTACAGCCTGCAGGGAGAGCTGGGGTGAGGATAGATGTGAAAGCGCCATTCTTTACAGAGTGGTCCACTATGTGTCCTGAAATTCACTGTGTGCTTGGGCAAGACATGGCCCTCTCTGGCTCCTTTTCCCTCTGATGGCCCCGATGACTCTACGGCCACTCCTGGCTCTGCCTTAGCTCCAGCACATGAGAGCCTGGTGTGGAGGGCCTCAATCTTCCCAGTGTCCCAGCCTTCAGAGGCCCTGGCAGGCCCAGGCCTCTCCCTCTGGTCAGCCCAGGCCAGAGACCTTCCTGGGAGTCGGCAAGGCTCCAGACTTCCTGGAGCCTGAAAGGCAGAGTCTGGGAATAAGTTAGGCCTGGAGCCCCAGAGAGGCTGCTACTGTCCTAACCAACCCACACAGGAGGTCCTCCAGGGCATCACGGGAAGTAGGGCAGGAGGTCTAGACATACAAGCCCAAGGCTGTGGACCAAGGGCTGAGGACAGAGCTTGCCTCGGAACCCTGTTACACCCCTGATTTGATGCTGGGTGACTGCAGTTTTCCCCTTGGTAGGGTAGGTGCCCTTGGGAGATGATGACAAATGTCATTCCCCTTGAGCATCACCCATCTCAGGCCATATGGTCTCTCCCCTGAACTATGCTGACGGTCACCTCACTGACGTCCTGATTTTCAGATAATGCCTTTGGATACATGTAGTTATATAGCCACCACTGCCTTCCACCGAAGATGAAGACAGAGCCATGAAGCCTGGTGTTCAGGCTGCCAGAGCTGGAAGCAGTCTGGGCATTTCATGCACGTTGTATTGATGAGCTTTCCCTGTGGCCTTAGGAGATTGGGATTCTCATCACCCCCAGTTTGCAGATGGGGAAACAAAGGCTCAGAGAAGCAAAGCTGCTGTCCCAATCTAGCGTGTGCTCCATCTCCATGTGCTTCTGTGGTAATAGTAGTGGGAGAAGGCATTTGCTGTGCACTGGCTGGGTGCCGACACCCATCTAGCCAGATTGTCTGATTGTCTGAGCCTGTGCGGGGCGGGGGGGGGGGGGGGGGGGAGAAGGAGCTGCTGTGAGCAGTAACACTGGGAAAGCTGTGGTTCCAGCAGCATCCTGTAAAGCCCTCCAGAGGCTGGACGGCCAGAAGAGCAGGTGCAGAGTAGGAGGCCTGAAGAAGATGAGAGGACACAGTGAGGAGGAGAGGACATAGTGAGGAGGGGAGGAGGGGAGGAGGGGAGAGGGAGGAGGAGAGGGGAGTAACTTGCCTGTGGCCACCAGATCACCCCTCATTCCAGGGACCAAGAGCTCAGTGAGGTCCCTAGGCTCTCAGATGCTGACGTCTCAGAGGTCCTGAGGTGCCCGTGCCAAGACTCCCTGATTCCTCCTAAGATTTCTTTCCATCCCTCTATGTGCCCAGTTCCAGGAATTTGAGTGGACTGAGGGCTTTTGGGAAGCCAACCCTTTCTGAAAGCTACCTTCAGGGTGAGATGTAGAGTCCTGAGCAGACTCTTGTCCCCAGATAGCACTGGTTTATCACACATACTCTCACACTGCCTAAATTATTTCCATTAATTCATTTCTTGGGGTGAAGGTATAGAAAGCCTCTGTTAAAATAAAAACTGTTTTCTAGACTTCTCATAAAATACCAGCTGAGTGGTATTTTCATCTGTTAAGGGTTAGAATGGACAAATTCCGTTGTTTTAAACTTTTGTTTTCTTTTTAGCCTTTGAACCCTTGTCATCAAACTATTTATTGAATAGAGCTGCTCTGATCAAAAAGGGAGAGAGACATTTGTTGAAGTCTCTACATCAGTGGTGGGCTCACAGGGACTCCAAGGAGGAGTGGCCCCTGGCCAGTTCCTGATGAATGGCTGAGACTTTGCCAGAGGGAGACGTGGAAAGGGCATCTCGGGTGGAAAGACATATTTGACGGAAGCGTGACGGAAGTGAGAGGGTGGGTGAGCTGATGGGAGAGGCAGGTCTGTGGGGAGGGTCCCTGGAGTGCCTGTGGGCTGGAGCCCTGGCTGGGGAGGGGGCTAGGCTGGAGCAAGGTTTAGTGGATCCAACTCCTTGCCAGGCTGGAGAGGGTGGAGGTGGTTCGAGTTCTGGCAAGGGGGGGAAGGGGGGCCCCACCATCAAAACATGTCTAGTGTATGGACTGTATCTTTTACTTTTATCTAGTTTGTTTCACTTTTCCTATTTCATCTTCAGTGCTCCCATTTCATTTAGTTTGAGTTTCCCAATTTCTCCGTCTCTTCTTTTTTTAAATTTTCTTATTTTCTTTCTCAAGCCTTTCTCAAGTGTAGTAGAAGTTTTTGTGTACATATATATAAATAATATGTATAATATATATATTTTAGAAAACTTATGAATTTTTGCCTAACTGAAAAATTTATGACACTTTGATACCACTTGTTTGACTTGGTGTGAATAGAATGCTAGATTTCTAATTTAAAAAATATAGATAATGCAACAAGCAACAAAAGTTTACTGTATAGCACAAGGAACTATAGTCAGTATCTTATAATAACCTATAATGGAAAATAATTTCAAAAATAATACATGTGTATATGTATAATCTCTTTTGCTGTGCACCTGAAACATTGTAAGTCAACTATACTTCAATAAAATACATATATTAAGAAAAAAAAAAAAACATGTCCAGTCTAGTTAAATAACAGACCTGCATCCACTCGAGGTGCTCAGGGCTCTGATGGGGGTGTGGGGTGAAGCACTGAGGATGAGACAGAACCTGGGTGGGGGGACCCCAACTAGCTGGGGTCAGAGTAGGCTTCCTGGACAGTTATGTGATCTGCATGCTGCTTCCTTTCAGATGGGTGTCAGCACCTCAAGGAGGGCGCTCAACCAGAGGGGCCAGCATGGGCAGGGGCTGTGTGCAATCCTCGAAGGAGGCTTAGAAGCAGAAAAATATGGCACCTGCCCTGCCCTATCCCCGTGGGATCCCTGAATATGGCTGCCTTCCTCCCTCCAGGGCCTCCCACCTTCCCTACCTGTCTCACCCCTTTCGGCTCATCCTTAACCCCCCTAGGACTCACTCCCCTTCTGAAACCCA